CAGACACATCAATCACCACCATCAACATAGCCCCACAATGTAGCACACCCCATCAGCATCACCACCACTTGATGTGACGCACCGCAGTGATCCGCACTGCGGGTGATAGGCGAGCAGATTGTTTTCAGCAGGTGTGTGGCCTCGCACAATGCTGTTTCGACATCTTCGCGTATGGCGACAACGATGAGGTAGAGTAGAGAGAGAATGGATTCAAAATGAGAAAAGAAATGAATATTAGGGTTTTTGGTGTGGGTATATAATTAATTGAATTTTATAATGTTATTATTTAATATTAAAAAATTATATTATCATTTGATTTTTGTATACGTAAACAATAATTTTGATTTTTGAAATGCAATTTTTAAAAGTAGGTCTCCATGTAATTTCCACGTAACATTACTCATAATGAAATCCAAACAAGCATTTAGACTTTAATTGCTAAACCCGATCATGTACGGAGGTCTATGAATCATGGGCAACTTACAAAAATACCCTTAAAATTATGAGTGTTTTGAAAAATCTTATGAAAAGTTTTGTAAAAGTAAAAAATACTGTGTAAAATTAAAAAGTGACATTGTGTCACTTTTTTATAAAAATTGTCACCTTTTTAACACAATTCAGAAAAAGTGACACAAAATTAAAAAAAGTAACGAACATCAAAATAACACCATCCATTTGTGCAACACCATTAATCATGTTCTTAACATAATAAGCATGTCTAGGACAATCCATATGAGCATAGTGGCGGCTCTTATCACATATCACGTCACTTTTTTAAGAAGATAAGAAAGTGTCAAATATTAAAAAAAAAGTGACAAAAACTTAAAAGGTGACAAACTCTAAAAAAAAAAATTGTTTTTTGGAAGTATAAAATACTTTGTAAATTTAAAAAAGCGACATAAACTAAAAAAAATGACAAAATTCAAAAAAATGACACAAACTCAAAAAAAAGAAAAATGACAGAAATTTTAAAAAAGTGGCAAATTCAAATAAATGAGAAAAATTAAAAAATAGTTATTCATATTAAAAAAAGTGACAAAAACTCAAAAAGTAACGAAATTTAAAAAAAAAAGAAAAAGAAAAGAAAGTGACACAAATCAAAAAATGTGACAAATCATAACTCACGATTTATAATGAAGCTTATAAAAATACCCTTAAAATGAGAGGTCGTTTGAAAAATCATATGAAAATTTTTTTTAAGTAAAAAATACTTTGTAATATTAAAAAGTAACATAATATCACTTTTTAATTAAAAAAAAAAAGTGACAAAATGTCACTTTTAAAAGTTAGTGTCACTTTTTAATTAAAAAATGACATATAGTATCACTTTTATTAAAAAATGATGTTTGTAACTAACAAAGTGATAGAAATTAGAAAAGGTGACTTAAAAAAGTAATAAATACTAAAAAAAGTGACCAAAATCCAAAAAAGTGACAGAAATCTTTTAAAAAATGACAAGCACAGTAACAAATTTAAAAAAGTGACACACACTCAAAAAGTAACAATTCAAAAAAGGACCATGCTACACTACCAGACCTGTAAGAGGTTTGGTAGTGCAGCCCCTCTCACAGTTCGGGGTGGGGGTGGGTTTTTGAAGGGTATTTTTTTTAATCATGGGACCAGCCGATGTGAGAGAAAATGGGAGAGGAGGCCTCTACCAAGCCTTTTACAGGTGTGGTAGAGGGGCATTACCCTTCAAAAAAAGTGACAAACTAAAAAAAAAGGACCCACAGCTTCTGTAAAAATTGCCCTCACAACTTTACTCTCCAACTCCACCTAAAATAATTTCAACAAAGATGAGCAAACTAGAGAACCTCAAAACAGCTGAGGTTGATTTAGAGACGAATATATAAGCATGATAAAGAAAATCTTTTCAACTTCCAAATAATCAATTGACAATAAATATTCAACAATATACAATATCAATTAAAATAACTCTTCAATCATATAAGATAACCAGCAAATCTAACGTAAATAATACATTGATTTCGATACAGGGACAGATTAATTGAAACTTCTTATAGAATAACCATAGACAGAAGTTAAAAGAAAGAGTCCAACAAAAAATTAATTCAAAATCTTTGTTTTGGTTCACGTCACTGTATCTATGTAATCTTCTTTATGAAATTCCAAATTTACAAGTACGAAAGGGAAAATTTAAAAGTAGTAATGAATTTTTCTTCTTCCCTTTTCCACTCATAGCAACATGAATCAAGCCAACTGAGCCCTCAGAACCAATACTCAAGTTTGCAAAACTACCTGAAGAATAGAGTAGTGTCTCTTTCATGTTTGGCTACAAGAATACCATTACAATTTAGAGATAAATCCACTGACCTTTGCATCTCTAGAATATTGAATTAGCATAGAGTGGACGAAAGATTTTAGGGACTTCAAACGAGAATCCTGACGCATTAAAATCACTACAGTGTACTGCTCTTTGCAAGGAAAAGGTAAAATCTTTTGCGGTGCCAACTGAGCTGCTACTGGTGACAAAGAATTTCTTACTTTGGAACGACCCTCGTCTACAAACTGCAAGTTAGTTCTAACCAAAATTATGTTTGCCAATTGGAAAGAAAGCTTTTCAACACCTACTATTGGAACACGTGAATACTTCACATAGGAAACAGAGACTTTGCTGACTAAAGTAGACCACAATCAGAATGCTAATGACTTAGAAATGCCTCAACGAAGCAAATGGAGATAAGCAAGCATAGAAGCATAATTTCAACTACATTTATTTATCTGAATGAAAGTTGTGCAAAATCACCCAAAATATAGAAAAGTATCCTAATATTTTAGTAGTGCTATTTACTTCTATTGCTCAATATAATGCATCACAAGTCATGGTAGCGAAGATTAGTAATGCAATCATATGTCGACAATCATTGGCAGAGCAACCCATATTAGTGTTTCTCGATGGAGCAACCGATATGAGGGCAAGCTAAGGTACTCTGTGCTTCCACGTTTAAAGAACTTAGTTATCATCATGTGTAATAAAGGAAAAATCAGAAATTAACAAAATCAAGAGAAGGAAACAATGCATGATTTATCCTCAATCATTGGGTGAATTTCAAAGAAGAATGAACCATATTACAATTCATCCAGCCCATTTAAAAAATCGATGCATTCAATAAAAAGCAATACCCAAAATCATGAAATAAATTGCAATGAACATAGCAAAAGCAATAAAATTTCACGAGGAAGATACTCACATACCCCAAAATTAGCAAAATGAAAGGAGAAATTTACATATCCTGAATACTGGTGAGGCATTTAGGGAGACGGAATGGCAACAGAAGAGCGCGAGAGTGAATTATTCCGTTACCGAAAAAATCCAAATTCTCCTCCAATCAAATTCAACGGCTTGCATTCTATCTACCCATTTGATAACAAACACTGCAACTAAATCGGCCACAAATTTCAAAACAAAACAGCACAAACTGACCTAAAATCAAGAAAAACGACAAATACAATCTAGATAGAAATAGAGAGAAGAAGAATGCGTTGGGGAAGCAAAACAGAGATCTGGTGGTGGGAGTTTTGGTCGGTTAAGCCTACCATTTACGGTGAAAATGATTTTATTTAGTTTTAAGGGTAGCTTTCTAATTTGTCATATTTGGAGGGTAATGGGCCTAATTTCCTCAATCATAATTCTTCGGAAATTCTTTGGGCCGATAGGCAAGTAGTTGTGACCTAACACGATCCAATATTTTTTTCCTTTATAATATTGGTTTTTCGATGAGAAATAGCTTTAGCCCAGTATGATAGATTTTGATAAAATATGTGGTAAAAAAAAGTAGTAAATCCCATAAAATATATAGTTAAAATTAATTGTTACTTTGATTTGGATTAAAATCTAAATTTTAAATCCAACCAAACAAAGGCTTAGAGATATAACGACTTCTAATTTCTTGGTAATCCTCTTTTTAGAATGTCTTCACTAACAAAAATATAAATACGCCATAAATTGTCAATAATACTTATATAATTTTATGAATAATGCTACTCATATATAATGAAGTTATATAATGGTTTACATAAATATGAGGTGTCAAAAGGAAGTGAAAAATATTTTTGGTCCTTTAATTTGGTTCAAGAAATTTTGAACCAATCATATCTTACCATATCACGTACACGTAAATCATTATGTACATGGAGCAAAATTGTTATCTTATATAACTATTTTGTGAGGATAAATTCTTTGCCAATTTCTACAACGACATTAAAAGGTTGATAATTTAACATTCTATATATTTTGATCTTGTAAAGAAAAGACAACACAAATTCTGAAAATTCCAAAATTTCTCAATCTCTCCATCCCACCCACCGTTTCAGTTTTTGTGAAGGGCCCCAGTTTCACATGTTCAAAAGGTGTTTTCCACATAAATACAAGACAAGGGAACCAAATATATCCTAGGTGACAAGGGAAGTGATAGGCTTCTTTGGACTCTAATTGCTACACCATACGATTTCTCAACATTTTCTTTTGTATTCATTGCACCCACATCAACTTTTATACATTCCAATGCAAATAAAATAATTAAAAGAAAAGAAAAAAGAATTCGAACCTTTTAATACCGTAGCAATTGCAGAATACGCATACATTGTTAGAATTCACTTTTATAATAGGCTTGTAAGGAAATGGTGTCTAAATTGCTTATAAATCCCAGGACGGACCTTTCATGAGCGATGCATACAGATATAGCCTCAATTTGAAAGCTTGACTTCGCCTGTAAATATTTGTAAGTAAATGTTTCTAACTAAATGAGAGTACAGAAGATAAAATGCTAGAAAAATTGCAGCTTTGCTACATTGTCGGACAGTTTTGACACATTGTTTGACAGAATGCCGCTATATCATTTACCTGTTTGAAAAACACAACAGTTTTTGCACGAATGAAAATCCGCCTATATTGCTTTTGTCAAAAGGGTGGGCACCAAATTCTGTGAAAACAGCTTAATTCGAAAAATTGTGGGGTCAGCAGAATAATTTGTTATATATGTGAAAGTAACTTTATGGGCCATTGCTATGAACTATGCAAGTATAGGTCTCGTGATGCTGCAGCTAATAAAAGTCTCAATACACGTACAGAGGCCAACTAACCACGGTGCATATAAAACAAAAAGGAAAATCAGTTGATTGGCTTCATAATTTTTCTTAAACTGTACTTTTGAATGCAGTAAAACTAGTTTATGTTTCATTCAATGCTAAGAAGCCATGGCAGAATTCTGTGATCTGCAAATCCATATTGATGGTCAACAAACATTCTTCACTAATGAGGTAATTCCACTTCTCCATCTATTGGATACTGTATGATAAATTGCTAATTTATTTAGTTCATTCAAGATTCAATGGCTGCCTATATGTAATATTGCAGAGAATTGTGTCAAGATTCTGTGGGAAGTTAAGAAAGATTATCAAACAAGAAAAGAGAAGAACTCAAATTAGGAAATCGGGAATTGAGATTGATGATTTTCCGGGAGGAGCTGATGGATTTGAACAAGCTATCAGGTTCTGCTACAACAATGGCGCAGTCGAAATTACAGCCTCCAATGTCTCTCTACTCCATTGCTGTGCAATTTTTCTTGGAATGACTGAAAAGGTATCTAGTTTCAATTTGTTGCATCAAACTGAGGTTTTTCTTCAAGGTATTTTCTACTGGTCTTGGAGTGATACTATCACTTGTCTCAAGAGCTGTGAACCATTCTTTTGTTATGCTGATTCAAGTGGCCTAATCCAAAAGCTCTTATGCTCAATTCTCGCCAAGATTGCGCAGAAAACTGATGTCAATCTCCTAGTTTCATCCTCATCTTCCTCTTCATCTTCTCCAGATAAGTATTTCAATTCTGATGAACTCAAAATCAAGCCAAGTTCATCAAGAAAAGAATGGTGGTTTGAAGATCTGACTGTTTTACATCCAAAGACTATACAGCAGTTTGTGAAGATATTAGGAGCTTATGGGAATGATAATAATAGTTTAGTCCTCACAAGGTTTTTGTTGCACTATCTGAAAATTGCTGTCCGGCCCAATAATAAGATTATGAACTCAAAAACATCAGAATACAGTGAACTTGCGAATACGGCAGTTCATGGGGTGATTTCGATAGGAAAGACTGCATTTTCTTGCAGAGGCCTATTTTGGGTGCTGAGAATTGTATCCGGTTTGGGGCTGAGCCGAGAATGCCAGGCCGGCTTGGAGAGGTTGATTGGTGGGATGCTTGATCAAGCGACCCTTGACGATTTGCTGATTTTTGGAGGACACAATGGGGGAGCTTATGATGTGAATCTTGTGGTGAGATTGATCAGATTGTTCGTACATGATGATACAGTTACCTTAGAGAAAATGAAGAAAGTTGGTAAATTAATGGACAAATACTTGGGAGAAATAGGGCCCGATCAGCACCTTAAAGTCTCCAAATTCCTAGGAACTGCTCAAAGTTTACCAGATTATGCAAGGGATTGTTATGATGAAGTCTACAAGGCAATTGACATCTACCTTCAGGTAATTCTTCTTCTTAAATTTTCTTTAACTTCTATAGAGACAATACAAATATAGGAGACAAAATTATGTTTCTTTCACAACAATTTAGCAAAACTTCCGATTTCAAGTTTCGAAAAATTGATGCCTTTTTAGGTTCCCAAAAGATTGCTAATTGTAAGAAATCATTCTCCAATTCAAAGTCTGTTCCAGGTTAGAGTTTCATGATGCCCTTAGACCAAAAATCAGAGTCTATAAGAAAGCATATAATTCTATGTGCGAAAATGTTTCGATTTTAGTATAGAGAATTGCCTTTTAATATAGAGTTCATGTAAAAGCCAGCATATAAGGTAAATTATTCTCTGCCAGAACATTTACGTATAGATATTTCTGCAACATATTTGTCCTTATCTCTTCGTTTCTGATGCTGTTGTTGCCTGTGAATGCTACATACGTTAGACAGGTACTAATTGTCATTATCTAAACAATCAAAGGACATAATATTCGTTCTTAGCGTTGTTAACTTATTGAAGAAACTCTAATTAATAATAAATAATTAAACATCTCAAGACAACTTGAGAGAATAGTTGTCACAAGCTTCAAAACAATACTTAGCCAAATTAGCATCTACTCACTGTACTTAATTAAAAATCTTGCTATTTCTGTCTGTCTGTCTGTCTTACTACACATGCATAGAAATTGGCTTGATGTGTTCTTATCGGTTCGTGTAAGTGCTCGATTTATTGTAAACCCATAATCGCTTCTGACAGTTTTCTTATGTTGTACCTTTAACAAAATATAAATCTAAAATGTTTGATTAAGCTTATAAAATGGAAAAGTTATTTTTGAAGTAAGTAACATGTTTTGGCGAAACTTAAAAAGGTGCTATTTTGTGAGAAGTATGCACCTTTTAAGTTTAGTCAAACATGCTGTCATTGGTCTCATATTAGGAACTTCAGTTAAAACCAATAAAAATTTATTCATTCTAAAACTTAATTATTTACTTATGAGTAAAATTTTAAGCTTATCACATTTGTCCAATAGTCTTATTTGTTGCACATTAATTTTTTTTTGGTGCCTTCAAATTTTATTTGGACGAATTTAAGACGTATTATAGTCAATTGTTAAATCACTAATAACTCAGTTCTTGATTGTAGAATCAAATTCGGGCGAACAATCTTAACTAAGCAAAAACAAACATTTAAACAAAACTCAAGACAACACCCTTTATCCCTCGTGATTTAGGGTAACTTTCCTCTTCATATTGAAGTTAGAAAAATTCTATTTGTATATAATTATTGTACATAATGATGTCCACAATGTGATGTAACAATCATCTAGTTGTTAATATGTGTAAGTGTGATATTTGAATTAAAGATTGAATCCAGTGCCATGTGTAATTATGAACACTATTATATAGATAATTATGTACATGTATCATATCCGTTGAAGTTATTAACTCAGAAATATTCTGCCTAGTTCACTCATAAGGGCTATGGTTTGAATTGTTTAAATAAGACTCTCTAGAGTTGGCTCAATTTATTAGTTGTATTAATGAAATAAAATTAAATTTTTAGCTATTCTTGTCTAGTTTTGGTTATTCTTGAATCTACCATGTCTTGTATTAGATAATTAAAAGATTAATCTTCAAGCTAATTCATGTATTTATTGATTCGTATACACTAGAATATTTATATAACTGTGCATTATCATTTTTCGACGAATATTTATTCTTGTCCATTGTAATGTAATAATCTCTAATGCATTAATGCAGTCTCATCCAGCTCTCTCGTTAGAGGAAC